TGCGCCTCCAGCTCCTCTCCCAGGTCCCTGCGTAGTTTCTCCGCCTTGGAGCGCGCCTGCCTCTCCAGCTCCAGGTCCTCCTGCAGCTCAGAGATCTGCGCCTCCAGCTCCCTGATTTTCTTCTGGGCCGTGTTCTTTGCTGCAGCCTCCTCCTCGATCCTGATTTTTTTTTTTTTTTCAAAGTACCGTCACTCTAAATGTTCATAGGAATCGAGTAAAGCCCGAGTAAAAGCTTAGCGCCCGAGTAAAAGCTTAGCCTTTGGTCTAACCTGGCTAGTGCGGCGAGGAGCTCCTCCTCCTTCTTGGCCAGCTGAGCCCGGAGCTCGGCGATTTGGGCCTGCAGGTCGGCGATCTGGTCGTTGAGCTCCGTGGAGTCTCCCTCCAGTTTACGGCGGTTTTTCTCCAGCTCCTGGCGCAGCTTCTCCTCCTTCCTCAAACGATCTGTTTGGAAAAGATAAAAATGTCACCTAAAAACAAGAACAAACTGACATAGAACATTTAAAAATAGACCAAACACTTGCCTTCTAAATCAGTGATCATGGTTTCATGTTTGTTCTTGAGCTTCTGCAAGCTTTTGGACTTCTCCTCCTCTTCAGCCAGATTTATGGTGAACTCTGAGATCCTCTCCTCCAGCAGCTTCTTTTCCTGCAGTTACCAATAAATACATCGTGTTCACTGGAAAAATGATCCAGAAATAAGTAAAAAATCTTTAAATTAACTGTAATTGTATTTGATTTGAATAGGTAAATGGGATAATTTGCCAATGGAGTATCTTTATTCTTAAAATAAGATAATTAGAGAATATGCACTGGAAATAGGACAATGCGGTTGTCTTGTTCCATTGGCAAAATGTCATTTTTATCTCAATTCAAGAGCAAATGCAGATTCCAAAAAAGTAAAAGAAATCCATTGGACTTTGTTTCCAAGTTTGAAGACGTTTCTCTTCCCATCCAGGAAGCGTTTTGAATTAAAAATGGGTCCGCTGCTTTGGAATGGGGGTCGTTATATTTCTTTGTTAGCCTGTAATACCTGAAACCTGTCCATGTCTCTCAAACCACTTTACAGAGGAACAGAAGACCTTGCCTATTCAGCCAGGCCAACAATTCCCTTAAAAAAAAAAGCACTTTCAGAAACATAGACAGGTTTCGGGTATTTCAGGCTACCAAAGAAACCAAACGACCCCCGTTTCGTCAGAAATATGCATGTTTTCTAGGCCAAAACA